GACGGAGGACGTTTCCAGGCTCTGCTCTCTCTGGGACGATCAGGAGCATCAGTCAGCCAGACGGACCGTGGCTTCAGGAGAAGGGATTTGTTTTCTTCGGGGCGTTGGGTCACGGCCAGAATAGGGGGGTGTGTGGGTGGGTGTGCTGTTGGAAGGAATACGTTGGGCGGGAGAAGCCAACTTGACCGAAGGGTCATCATACGAAGTTTGTGTGGGTGGCAGGGTCGGGTTGGCAGCACCCACTCGTGGGTTCAGCACCGCAACACGACGTGCCCCCGTTGTCGCTGGTGGGTACGTGCTGCATGAGAGATCAGGAGAGAGAGGCGCACTGTACAGTTCCAGCTTGACCTGACGAGAAGTGGAGGACACCAAGCATGGCGAGCCCGAGTCGAGACGCTGTGTGACAGGGTATCCTGGTCGGCACTTGGCCAAAATGTCACTCTCCGCCTGGGTCTCGATGCGAAAGCTTGATTCACAGCACAGTATGCTTTTCACGGTTATTGAACGACCCGCAAAATGAACCTGAGCCTTGCCATGACTTGCCACTGGAAAGCATGCTGTCAGTGTCCAGCGTCCAGCCACGCATGTATCTGGCATCTCACAATGGCGAATCGTAGACATTGAACATTGTTTTTGTTGATCAGGCTAGCAATATTGCAGGTCTAGTAGAGTCGCTGGCTTTCTTTGAGTTTATGTGGTGTTGATCTGTCTCTGCACGCTCCCGTCGGGACAATAAAGGGCAAGACCTGCTGGGGTGTCAAGATGCAGTCGAGATCATTTGATTGGTCCGGGAGCTATTAAACGGGGGCGGAGATGGCAATCGCCAACCCAGGCTTTCCCTTGAATATTTTGGTCCTACATCGGGAAGAGGTAATCGGTGATGGAGCCGCCCTTCAATGTAACGAGAGCCAAAGTTTCGGGCCAGCAGGAGGATCGCAAAGTGGTGACCAGGGGCAGCCGAACCATCAACAAGATGATTAAGTTGAGCAGTACCTAGGCAGGGAGAGACGGTGTGAGCAAGCGATGTTCCACGCACATGCAACTGGACCAGCGACATGCCCATTGCAACCGGCACAGACGGGGATGGGATTTATGGTCACTGTGACGCGTTTGGTATTGTCCCGTCTCTTGTTGACCCTTGGGGCTGTGCCGGGATGTTGTTGTTGTTGATTCACCTAGCACCGTCGAGGCGAGCGATCGATCAGCAGGTGATTGAGCGGCTTAGTCTTTGATTGGATGAATGGTGCCGGCGGCGGCAGCAAGCAACACGCCATCTTGGGGGAAGCATTCAGAATGGAGGCGCTGAGACCCCCCCGCAACTGGGAATTCCTTTCCCAAGAGGATCTTGTCGTACCTGGCTGACCTGGGCAAGGCAGGCACCTAGGTAAGGCATGGTAAGGTAGGTAGGTACCTAGGTAAACACGGCAGGTTCAGACACTGAACACATGAATTCAATTAGAGCATTCCCATGATCGGCAAGGGGAATGCAGGACTGATGTGCGGCTCTAACCAATGCTGATAGGAGCTGCTGTGCTCGCACCGAGTTTGAAGCAGCCCGTCTGTCCTGGATGCCAGGCACTCTGCCTCTGTGACGAAAAAAAAAAGGGGGGGGGGGTCACTCCTAGGTAGGTGGTACTCTAGGTACTCACTCCAGGCCCCTGAAGGGCTTCGGGTGTTGTAAATAAGGTACCCTAGGTAGGTGCCTAGGGTCGGGCGGTGCGACCTGTTCCAAGATCTCCGGGCACTTGTGGGCTCTGTGGACCCAGGGCATCGGCCGCTAAAAATGCGACACTGAGCGAACAGAGAACAGTAGACGCCGAACCTTGTGTGGTCGTTTGCCTAGGTAAGGTACCTAAAAAAAGCATTTTGCTGGCCCGCCCCAGCACCCACTTCGACTGGAACTCCAGTCCACCCCCACCATTCCACTTCACTACAGACGGTGCAGGATTTTCCTCTTACCGATCCAGCTCCCAGCTGTGGAGCCTGACCCAGAGAGACAGACACACACACACACACACACACACACAGACCCGGCCTGACCCAGCCTTCCAGCATAGCCTCCGCATCTTTTCTCGGTTCAGGTTCCTGTCCGTCACGAACAAGAAAACGATGGAGCTTCATGCAAGTGCTGAGGGCCAGAAAGGCTGGCTGGAAAACGGTACTGCAAGTGGTAGTGAATGCACATCACACACCCCGCCCCTCCCTCGGCCGATACGAACCGGGCTCGCCAGTTGATGATCTGCGGTGAGAACGAGGGACTGGATGGCAGTCCAACAAGAGACGCCACTATGTGTTACAGGAGATGCACTCGGATTTCGACCTGGACTGACAGCCACCCGGGGGGGGGGGGGTGCCGGGACCGCAGTCAGACGATCAAGCACAAAAAGTCGTTGTTCCCGATCAGCAGCGAGATCTCGTTCAGCCATTGCTGACCGCGCCGCAAGCGAGGAGAATAGAAAAGGCATCCAGTACACCCATTGACAAGAATAGCACGACTGTCGTCACCAAAAAGTGGAGGGCAGAGAACCGTCCCGATGTTCAACAGCTAACGCTTTGCCGACCTCGCCGCCAGGCCTACCTCTGGCTGCCTGATCCAACACAGCGCTGCAGCTGCAGGTTGCAGTTCGCCGCCTCGTATTCACGCTGGTCTCTCCAAGAAAAGCATCGCACAGTGGGAGCAGAGTCCACCATCCATTCGTTCATTCTGGATCAGCGCGGAGACCGGCTCGTCTGCGGATGGAACCTTGAGTGCCCACCAAAAAGCCTCTTACAGCCTAGCCTATGTGGACAGATGGGAAGCCCCTGGGTCAGGGGTCCGTGAAATCATGCTTTCTGTCGCACGTCTCCGAGAACTGCGCGTCTGTCGTCTGTCGTGCACCGCAGCCCGTCCATTGGCCCCGGAGCCCCCTGTCCTCGCTTTCTTGTCTGTCGTGGGCAATGTGGTGATCGAACCCTCTCAGGCCCCAGTCATTACGAGACCCAGAGTCCTTTCTGCCCGGCAAATCCCAATCCTCCCTCTGCTCTCCACTGCCACCTCTCGTTGTGTCTGAGGCAAAGCTGCTCGACATTGGCTTCTTCCTTTCAGTTTCTCCCCTCCCAACCCTTTACTCGACAACCATCTCACTCGCTTTGGTGGTTGTTTCGATCCCTCTCATTGTCTGTTCTGTTCTTGTCCAGCATCAGCTTGTCTCTTCTTGGGAACCACGACAGCCACGCCCACGCGTTGCCCAAGCGACCCAAATCAGACTTTCGATCCGGCCATCCAGCCAGCGCTTGACGAAATCTCACTCGCTACTCTTCTAATACTCCATTCGAATTCGACATCAAAGATCATAATAAACCGCCCACACTTTCCTGGGTCTTCCAACGAGGGCGCCGAGCCCACGCCATCCCCTTTTGACGTCCGGTTCCATACGCAGGCAACACCACCTGATCCTATCCGCCATCGCCCTTGAAGTCCCTGCACAGGGCAAGACTTCGCGAGCCCCCCGACCGTCAAGATGACGAACCCCAGAATGTCAATGTACTCTCTGGCCTCGGAAGCACCAGGTGGCAACAGAGGCACCGGCCAGCAATCGACTCAGGTGTCTACCACAACTCTCCTCAATGCCATTCATAATATCTACCTCTCCGCCCAGCCCTACAGGCTCGACGCTGGCACCAGCACCGTGGTCAACACCTGGCTCACTGCCTCGCAGACCGGTCCCAATGGCTCCATCGGAGGCACCGTCGATGCCTCACTAGGTGCCAGTGCCTGGGAGCATGCCAGGCGACGTGCTGAGGACGGCTGCATTGTCTTGGGGTAAGTCCTACCGAAGTTGATCCAACAGACAGAACGACGCGCTGACGAGATGAAACATAGCTCCCTTCACGAGTCCACACCGTCCGTCCTGGCTCCTTTCCTTTCCTCTCTGCCCATGTCCACGCCTTCGTCGCTCTACAAAGCTTTGGATGCCATTCAGCCTTTTCTGCGATGCTCCACACCTTACAACCCTTCGACGCCTCGGCAAGCCGCCCTCGGCGTTACCCTGACCATCAACCTAGCTGGCAATCTCACCGCTGCCAGCATCGCGTTGTCGCAGGGTGGTATCGATACCACGAAGGGCTTGATGAACATTCCTTCTGAGGCCGGCTACAGGGCTTTCGACGTATTCTATTACCTCCTGACATCTGCCTCAACTCCCGCTGAGCGGGAGTTCCTAGGCCTCAAGCCTGCCTCGCAGTATGCCCTGCTGGCTCGCTCGGGTACCTACGACCCGCCCTCATATCTCCCGACCGCCGATGATGCTGCTGCCGCCGAAGACTTCAGGACCGCCCTCAAGGATATTGGCATCAAGGGTGCCTCGCACCGAAGCTTCATCTCAACGCTTGCTGGCCTCCTCAAGCTCGGTAACACGCTTGATTACAACGTCGATGAGGACGTTCTGGAAGATGTTTGCGAAGACGTCAGCGGTCTCCTTGGAATGGAACCCGAGGTGCTTATGAAACAATGCACGACCGAAGACCGTTCGACATTTATTGGTGGACTCTATGAAGCCCTCGTCGATTGGGTCATCACGAAGGCCAACGCTGCCATCGCCGCCCAAATGACCCGCATCAAGGATGGCGCTGAGTCTCTCGACGGACGTGGGGTGCGAACACCCACAAGTAACGAGGAGGGTGAAGACACAGTCTGCATCAGTGTCATTGAGATCCCCAGCCCAACGCTCGGCAAGGCTTTGGCTTTGCGTGGCGTCTTTGATGATTCCATGGGCATCAACTCGGAGATGATTGCTGATGGCATCGAAGTGCCCGCCACTGGCAGCTCCGTGCTCCGTGAAATGCAAAATGCCGTTGCCGAGGTAGCTCCTGACCTGGGCATCAGCTCGACTCCAGCCAGCAGGGAAAGGCAACATGAGCTGGAGAAGAGGGAAGAGATTCTCGAGAAGATTGGTCTATCCGCTGATGATGACGGATTCATCAAACAACTGTTGTTCCCGGTCGCCGGTGAAGGCATTAACCTGGGCACCCACAGTCGCCTCGATTTGCCAGCCCTGCTTGCCTCAAGCCGTGTGTGGTACCACCTCTCTCTCCACCCCACCGATGACTCCCCAGCCAGCTTGGCTGCTCTGCCTTCTGTCACATCTGCTTGGTCGGCTGGTACCGTTTCTCGCCAGCTGCGGGCCTGGCGCCTCCCCGAGTGGGCCAACAGGCGCAACAAGAACCTTGATTTCACCGCTGACTTCGACATCGAAGAGTTTGTTCAGCGGTACTCGGCGCTAGGATGCAAAGACGGGCGGGATGGTATTGAGACGTGGCTCCTGGAGCGTGGCTGGAGCAATGGCGAGGTCATTGTCGGCAAAGAGCGTGTCTGGATGCGTGAGTCTGCCTGGTGGGAGGCTGAAAGCATGCTCGACCTCAAACCGTTGAACAACCTCCCTGGCGTTGGCAACATGATGGCTGTCAACCACCTCGAGTCTGGTTATTCAAACAATGGCAGCGGCTACTTCCCAGGCCAAGTCATTCTTGATGATCACAGCGGGAGCAACGGTGTCGTCAACCATCAGCGCAATTTTAGCCACGGCAACATGTCTCAAGCGACGTTCAACCAGAACCCTGTGGCAGCACCTTCGATCGCACCGACGCGTATGACGGGCATGACGGGCATGCGCAACGTCGCCGTTGGTGACTATGGCCTTGGGCACAAAGGCGACACCCACAAAGGCGCAGTCTACTACAACGAGGACGGTGAATTTATTGGTCCTCTCGACCCTGAACTCGCCGATGGCAAGCAAATCGAGACAAAGTCTCTGCCGATGAAGCGTAGAGTCTGGGTCTTCATCGTCTGGGCTTTCACCTGGTGGATTCCTTCCCCATTGCTTCGCTACGTCGGACGCATGAAGCGGCCTGACGTTCGCATGGCCTGGCGTGAGAAGCTTGTCCTCTGTTTCTTCATCTTGTTCTTGAACGCTCTAATTGTCTTCTGGATCGTTGCGTTCGGCCGTCTTCTGTGTCCCAACTTCGACAAGGCATACTCTCAGAAAGAAGTCGATACCCATCAAGGACAAAGCGACTTCTGGGTCAGCATTCACGGCAAAGTTTATGATATCTCCAAATTTTGGAAACAGCAACACTCCGATCAAGATATCGAGACCACACGGGAAAACATGCTTCCACTCGCTGGCATGAATCTCGACGACTATTTCGTTGCTCCTCTGCCCCTGACTTGCCCTGGCCTTGATATCGAGGACTCTTTCCGCCTGGATCTCAACAATACCTTGGAATTCCAGATTGCTGCTCACACATCTGGCTACTATCAGTCCAACCCTGTCACCAAGCTTCGAGCCGCAGATTGGTACAGCAAACGTTTTGAACCCAGAATCAAGGAATACTTCCACGGCGATCTAGTTTGGTCCAAGGGGACAGTCCGTAAGCAGGGCGAGAACGACGGACGCCAATGGGTCATTTACGACGACAAGATTTACGACTTGACCAACTACTTCCACACGCAAAAGCGTCAGAAGAATCTGGGTGGCTCCACTTTCTTGAACGAGAAGCTTATCAACGTGATCAAGCAAAATCCTGGCGCCGATGTCACCGATCAATGGAACGACGTCTTGGAACGGGCCGCCGGTAACGCCACTGAGAACCAGAGCGTCCAGAACAGCATGAACTGCATCCGCAACACGTTCTATAAGGGCATTACAGACTTCAGAGAGACGCCCAAGTGTACTGTCAACAACTGGCTGTTGCTGGCTTTCAGCATCATGTTGTGCGCAGTCATTCTACTCAAGTTTGTATCTGCACTGCAGTTCGGTTCCAAGAGGCGCCCCTCGCCGCAAGATAAGTTCGTCATTTGCCAGGTGCCCGCCTACACTGAGGGTGAAGAGTCCCTTCGAAAGGCTCTTGACTCTCTCACTGCTCTTCAGTACGACAACAAGAGAAAGCTCATCTGCGTCATCTGCGACGGTGTCATTGTTGGTCAAGGCAACGACCGCCCGACGCCTAAGATTGTTTTGGATATCTTGGGTGTCGACCCCAAGATCGACCCTCCCGCCCTGGCCTTCAAGTCCGTCGGGACTGGAAGCGAGCAGCTCAATTACGGCAAGGTTTACTCGGGTCTCTACGAATTCGAAGGCAATGTCGTTCCCTATCTTGTTGTCGTCAAGGTTGGCAAGGAATCCGAGCAAAGTAAGACGAAGCCTGGCAACCGTGGCAAGCGAGACTCCCAGATTCTCCTCATGAGCTTCCTCAACCGCGTCCACCACCGCTCTCCAATGAACCCGCTTGAACTCGAAATGTTTCATCAGATCAACAACATCATCGGTGTAGACCCCGAGCTATACGAATACCTCTTTATGGTCGACGCCGATACCTCTGTCCGCGAGGACTCGCTGAATCGTCTTGTTGCCGCCTGTGCTAACGATGGCAAGATTGCTGGTATCTGTGGCGAAACAGCTCTGCAAAACGATGAAAAGACCTGGTGGACTATGATCCAGGTCTATGAGTACTTCATTTCCCACCACCTGGCCAAGGCTTTCGAATCGTTGTTCGGCAGTGTGACCTGTTTGCCTGGATGGTACGTCCCTTTCTCCCCCCGTCTCGCCGTATTTACTCTTCGCTAACAGTCTCTAGTTTCACCATGTATCGCCTGCGTACCGCTGATAAGGGCAAGCCTCTCATCATCTCTGACGGCGTCATTCAGGAGTACAGCGTATGCGATGTCGACACATTGCATAAGAAGAACCTGCTAGCCCTTGGTGAGGATCGTTACCTGACGACCCTGATGACCAAGCATTTCCCGTTCATGTCCTACAAGTTCATCCCCGACGCATACTGCCAGACCGCGGCACCGGAGTCATGGAGCGTTCTCTTGTCCCAGCGTCGTCGCTGGATTAACTCAACGATGCACAACCTGTTCGAGCTGATGCAGCTCAAGGAGATGTGTGGTTTCTGCTGCTTCAGCATGCGTTTCGTCGTCTTCATTGATCTCTTCGGAACCATCATCCTCCCCGCCACGTGTGTCTATCTCGGCTACCTCATCTACCTCGTCGCTAGCGGCACTGGCCAGTTCCCCTTGATCTCCATCATCATGCTGGCAGCCGTGTACGGTCTCCAGGCTTTGGTTTTCATCCTCAAGCGTCAGTGGCAACACATTGGTTGGATGGTGATCTATATCTTGGCTTTCCCCATCTACTCCTTTATTCTGCCGATCTATTCTTTCTGGAACCAGGACAACTTCTCGTGGGGAAACACGCGTATCGTCATTGGAGAGAAGGGCAACAAGCAGATCGTGGCCGTCGACGATGAGGGCTATGATCCCCGCAGCGTTCCTCTGCAGCGTTGGGATGATTATGCCCAGGCCAACCAGCTACCTGGTCGTCGCGGCGGATACCCTGAGAAGTACGAAGGTGAATACCAGGACCAGTACGAGATGGACGAAATTAAGTCTGTCTACTCGTCTGTCCGCCAGGGATCTGTCATTACGGGCATGCAAAACCGCCAAAACCCCTACATGCCCCCTCAGTCACCTGCGCTCTTTGGCACGCCCAGCCCCGGCCACATGACCCGGCATTCGACCATGACTGGCGCTGGACCCTTTGCTGATCCCCATCTGGCTCATCGTCAGTCCATGGCCTCCATGGGCGCCCATGACATCCAGCGAACCCAGTCCCCGTACGCCGATTATCCTGCCCGTTCCATGGGCAACCTCCACGGTCACGCCAGCAACCCGTCTCTGATGGGCGGCAACCGCTCTTCTACTGCCCTTGGCTTCGCCGGCGGTAACCGCGCTGCGGAGGCTTCGTCGTCCACCTTTGATTTCCAGCGTGGTCTTGCCGGGCCTGACGATGGCATGATCGTCGAAGCCATCCGCAGCGTCCTCATGGAGGTCGATCTCGACACGGTGACCAAGAAGCAGGTGCGCGCCCTGGTGGAGCAACGACTGCAGTCCGAGCTCGTTGGTGAGAGGCGCACTTTCATGGATCGCCAGATCGACCACGAGCTGGCCAACATGTAAACACCACCTCTGCACTCCATCGGGCTCGCTCTTTTTGATGTCCCGGTGTTTTATTGTCCGGGGTCAACCTGATAAAAGATATATAATTACATCGCCACGGCCGCAACTCCCTCGCGGGTCACGTTGATGGGAACCTCCACGACCATGGAGAACGGGATAAAAGGGGATGGGGACGGCACTGGGAAGAATTCGGCGTTCGAGCGAAGTCTGCTCCTGCTACCACATGCGCGGACTCTTTTTTTTTATTCTTCCTGTCTCTTGATTTTGTTGAACGCGTCTTTCTTATCACCTGGTCGTATAGTGTACGGAAATAGTTGTTTTGGACCTCTGACTGCGAGGGTTTCCCTGGTGACCGTTTGATCGGTTTCGCAATAATAGCCTGAATTGAACTGCATCCATTGAATACCTTGCCTGCCATGATGAGATGTAGGTAACCGGCCGGAGAACGCCGAGTCGTTTGATTACGTAACATCATGTCAGCTACGTGTGCGATGATCGAGGGCTGTACTTCATCCAAATGGCGGGACACGCATGACTCTGGCTAGGGACGGTGGTCATTCCTTTCCTGTGCGACCCATTCATCAATATGAAGCATAACTCGGTGCCCCAGCCACGCTTCTCTTTTGGAAGTACACAGCTCATCACCACACACTCTGCACTAGGCAGGAGGCAAGAGGCAGAAGGGGTTCAAGAATGACGTAGTTTACTTCATTGTGGAGATGCAGAAACAATCCAATGCTTGCTTTCGCACCAAACACCCGCCAGAGCTCAGCCGGCAAACCTCTCATTAGGCCCGACTTGGTCGCTCAGGGGTATCTTCTGACGACTTTTGCTTCGAACCAAACTAAATCACAATGACCTGAACACGTGCCTCAAGCTTCACGTATTTTTTCCCAGGCCTCATCCCCACCTTTACCTGAACAACTTGAAAGACCAGTTGGTAAGCGAATCGGAATTTTCATCCGATCAACTCGCCAACAGAGCTCTCTACCATGGCATTTATTTCAGTGCCAATAGAAGCGTTGCCCATTGCTTGGAGGATTGGTAGGCCCAGCCTGTGTCGATGCCGGACCATAGCCGTCGTTACTATGGTACGATGGCGGGGGTGGGTTCTGCTCGCCATTGCCCCACTGGAGATATTGCTGATGAGGCTGCTGATTGTGCCCAAATTCCGGCGGGAAGCCAGGTGCAGTGTGGTGGTGCTGTCGATATGACTGAGTATCATCAACTTGCGTGTGGTTCTGCTGGTGTTCCCCTCCCGTGGGCGGCGCATGCCCATTATCATCGTGCCCTGGCCGAGCGCCATTAGCTACGCCGTGCTCAAGATTCATCCACCGTTGCTGTGAGTGGCTTGCAAAGGTATAGTTCCCGCCCATGGTGCCATTCGCCGTCGACAACTCGTGCTGTCGCTGCTGGTTCTCAGGAGGCCACCGATTCTGTCCATTGTTCGCATATGGCCCATGGCCCAGAGTGCTGCTTTTGCCCTTTTCATAATCAGCCCAACGCTGCACTGCTTGGTTTTCGGGCCCTAGGTAGGATACTTCGTTGCCGGCATTTGGGTCCCAGATGGGGATTCCGTCCACGGGTTGAGCCTCGCCTCGAGGTAAGCCTCTAGTGTAGGTCGCAAGGTTGCCGTTGATACCGATGAGAGCCCAGGCAAAGACAGCAACGTCTCGGATCGAACTCATAAGCTGTTCCAGAGGCGGGCCGCCGACGGCCTTGGCAGCATCGTCGTAAAGAGGCGGCTGCTGTGAAGTGTATGGCGGCTGGAAGTTGTATTGGGCTCCAGGCGGATACTCTGGTCGAATGGGCTGTTGGCCCCATGGAGCGGCGAAAAGACCATTCTCAAAGCTATGAGGTGGGACCAGTGGCGGGTGTGAGGCTGGAATGGGAGGCCGAGCACGGCGAAGAACAACGACAAGCCCATCCGACGTGCATGAAACGACGGCCTCAAGTTCCAGTGGAGCATTGGGTGTGCGTCTTCGACGGGCACGAGGTGTAGGGCCAGACTCAGGACTGGGACGGCTTGGTCCTGTGCGCGAACCGGCGCTGGGAGGGGTCTGGTAGGCGCCGCTACTGGAACCAGACTCCATGGCAACTGCGTTGGAGGCGGAACTGATGCTAGACATGGACTGTTGGGAGTCCTCGTGCTCCATCTTGATCTTCGGGCTAGAGGGCTCGATATCGATGTCCATATGGGTGTACAACCGAGCTCCTCCTCCCTCCGAGTCGCTGGAATTGATGCTTCGACGTTCATCTTCCTCCTCATCATCATCCTCTTCGTCGAAGTCTTCTTCTCGACGGGGGTCCCGGTACCAGAAGCGCAAGTAGGCAATCGAGTCGTTTGCCTTGGCGCTCTCGAGGCATCGTATGGCATCGGGAAGACAGTTTTCCTGAATACATTCATAGAAACTCTTGTCTTTGATCTGATCAGGACGTACACCAAGAATGGTAGACACGGCATTTGTCGCAAACATGACTGTCAGTGTCCTAGTAAATCGGTTCACGATGAGAGCGGCTCTGGGTTCCCGTTCAGTCGGCTGCGTCCGGAATTTGGGGGATAGGTGCTCTAGCATGTGATATCGAGGATCACGAGGAGAGCTCGAGAAAAGCCGTCGGATCTGAGGCGCTTCAATGGCGCGTCCTAGTGGGGTTCCGGTCAGCAATGCAAGAGCAGGGGCGTGATAGTTGGGAATGTGCACATACTCTCGCTCTTCTCGCCTCGCCGATACACGCTGGTACAGGCAACTAGAACATCGTGGACGACTGTGAAACGCCCTCGGGGGGTTTTTATAAATATAAAAAAACGTACAATTTAAATCTGCGGGCAGGGGTTAACGCGTGGTTCTTAATCCGGCGGGGGGGGAGGGATTTTTTGCTCGAGCGGGCAAACTGTCAATCTTATTTTTTTCCCCCCGGGGGGGGGGGGAGGGGGGGCTGAAAAAAAACATACCCCCCCCCCCCAGGGGGGTTTTTTTGGTTTTTTTTGGAAAAAAAAAA